CAAAACCCCAAAACCCCAAAACCCCAAAACCCCAAAACCCCAAAACCCCTTTAAGTCAATATTGAAAATACTGGTAGAGCTGATAAATTATATTTTGAGAAATTAAAAATATAAAATGGGAAATACTTGCACAACTTGCAATTGCAACAAAGACGGCTAAGAAGCTTCTGAACTTTTGACTGTAGATAATAAATCTGTATTTAATCCCCCTATTTGTAATAATACTCAAATTTTAGTATGGAAAATATTCTCAAGAATAAAGGACTGATATTGTAAGACTATACTAAATTAAAAAACGAATTGACAAGCTAATTTTGATTTTAGTCTGTTTTTAAGAGAAATATTAACCAGATAGTAAAGTTGTAAGCCTGGATTAGAGGTACAATAGCAAGACGTAGAGTAGCTGCGCATCTTTAATAACTTAATGGGCATTAAGCTTACATGTCTGGTAGTAAAAGTAAGTTTATAATAAAATTCAATTAAATCTTATATCATTGGGTTGCAAACAAATCTCTAATTTGAGACAATATTTTAACGAATTCGTTTAGGAGATAGATATGAAGGCACTTAAAATGGCTCATCATACTAGAATGATGGATAAATTGAAGAGAGAGGAGAAGTAGTGTTTAAAAATGGAGCTGTTTATAAAGGATAATGGATTGGGGACATGAAGCATGGATACGGAGTTCAAGTTTGGCCTGATGGTGCCAGATATGAAGGTTATTGGAAAAACAATAAGGCTTGTGGTAAGGGTAAATTCTGGCACGTAGATGGTGATGTCTTTGAGGGCTAGTGGTAAGATGACAAAGCTAATGGCTATGGTGTATATGTGCATATGAATGGAGCCAGATATGAAGGATACTGGAAAGATGATCTATAACATGGATATGGTAAGGAAATCTGGACAGACAACTCTAAGTACGAAGGAGAGTATCACGATGGTAAGAAACACGGGAAGGGACTCTATGTGTGGGCAGATGGGTCAATGTATGATGGTGATTGGTATGAGAACAGAATCGAAGGTCATGGTACCTACACCTGGATTGATGGGAGACAGTATACAGGTTCTTGGAAGAATAATAACATGCATGGCCATGGTATATACACCTGGAAAGACGGCAGAAGATATGAAGGCTACTATGAAATGGATAAAAAGCATGGCTACGGAGTCTATCAATGGGCAGATGGAAGGAGATATGAAGGCAATTGGTATAATGGCAAATAGCACGGCCAAGGAAAATACATTCTACCGGATGGGACTGTCAAGATTGGTCTGTGGGATAGTGGTAAAAGAGTTTAATGGCTTAATGAATGATCTATAAATTATCACATCACTATACAATATCATAAGTTTACCCAGTTATTTTGTTTGTTTATTAATATTATTTTCTATTTATAAATTGAGTGTTAACTTTTGTCTAATGGGGTTTTGGGGTTTTGGGGTTTTGGGG